CGCGAGTGACCGAGCCGATGGTCAGCCAGCAGTCGACCGCCCGGCCACAGCGAGCCGGCGGTCCGGCCAGCCAGTGAACCAGCCGGTTCAGACCAGTTACTTGAGCAGTTCAGGACTCAGTGACATGGTCCGAGTTCAGTACAGTATTTCAGTTAATTTTTCAGTCCAGTCAGTCCAGTACACCGGTAACAGTTCAATCTGGTTTTTCTTGCCAGTCAAGTTAAATCCCGAGAATATTCTAGTTCAATATTTAGACCGAATCGAGCGTCTTAACAGCTATTTTCAGTCATTCTGAGCATAGCACTTAGTATTTGTTTATTTATATATATTTTTACAGCTTTTGCAGATGATCAGCACTTACATTTTCAGACCAGCAGTTCAGGTGGGAACTCAGACTGGGTATTACATTGGTTATAATTGCTCTATCATGTTTTAAGGTATGTATATCAGTTATTCCACTTTGGGTAGAGGCGCAGTAGCCTTAATTGCCCATCCAGAGTTCTGGTGGAGGCGCAGTAGCCTTAATTGCCCATCAGATTGTGCACATGGCCAGTTCAGTACAAACCTCGCGTCTGGAGATTACAGTTTATTTATATATACCTTCAGTCATGATGTTGATATTATTATTAATGTTTACTTCAGTATGAGTTTCTGCGGAGCACAGTGGCTTTTAGTGCTCACGCTCCACGATGTTTATGTTTTTCAGGTTATAGAGCCGGAGCAGAGGAGTGAGCTGGTTGGTGAATCGTGGTCACAAATATGGCTAACAGCCATTGTAAATTATTGTACGATTATATTTTGCCACGTTTGACTTCCGCTGTCACTTTACGATAATTCATCTAGCATGTCAGTTTTTATTTTAAAAATTGGTTTATCAGACAGATTTTTTTAAAGTACTACATGCTAGTTGATCTAAAATTAATCCGTTTATTCTTCAAAGTTAAATTTAAATAGAGACAATGGATTTTCAAAGCAATGAATGGTTTTTAGTAGCATCCCGAAAAGGATTTCGCAAATGAACATGTTTTATTAAGAAAAGAATTTGCAAAAAAAGCACTCTGATATTTATGGAAAAGCGGGGTGTTACAGCGCGGTTCTTCCACCAGGCAACAGAAGAGAAGCTATTCCACTCGATGCAACACAAAGCACGATCTCACCCTTTGATCGTAATCCCGCAGCTAAAGTCCTCCAAAAGTATGTCTTACCGGTTCCGCCATAACCGTAGACAAAGAAAACACCACCTTGACCTGAGTGTACCGATGCCATAATTTTTAAGTACACTCCTTTTTGTTCGTCAATCATATCTCTAAGAAGAGTATTTTGCTCGACTGATAAGGCCTTGCGGTCATAACTTAGCTCATCCAAAATCAGACGATT